AAACTCTGCTCCATGCATATAAGAGTTTAGTTTCTGTAAGAAAAATATATATATTTTTTAATCTAAAAGACTAATGATTTATCTTAGAACAATATTAACAGATTTGTTTTATAAAACCAGCAGCTTTATCAGGGTAAATTAACTTTGTCATACTATGACATACTATGATTCACTATATTATTATCTAAAGGATTACTACATAGAAGGCACTTTTAAGTGGGTTTGTAATGAGAGTATTGTATGTTAACATACATGTAATCGAAACAAGGCCAGGATTTGTTCAGTGCTACCTAATGTTAGCTAGTTAACCACAACCAAAGAGGCGTAGTTTACAGCAACTTCAGCTAAATAAAACTTGGGAAAATAAGTGCGATGTGAAATGTATATTTTTACCAAATCTGACATCAGTGATATCAGCAGCGATGGACTCCTAAGTTCCAAAATATTTCTTATATTGCCATTAAGCTGGCTCAGAAGGCATATGAGGACAAAGGTTGCGATATGTAGTATTTGTAGGTGGCATGTTGCTGTAGCTCCAGTCACTGGGAAGACTTTCTCACGCTCTGGTAAAGTTTGGCTGCACGCTTCGCTCAGCTTACATGCCTTGCTTTGCAGCTCTCACATGTTTATCATATTTCCATGTTCCCTGAAACTGCTTAATATCAGTTTCCTGCAAATCATTCAGCTGTTCTTTCCCATAAACTGTTCTGCCATTTCTTGCTAGAATTTGTACCATTGTCTTTCAGAAACTGTTGTCATACTCCAATTCCTTCTCTCACATTCTCCTGTTTGATTATTTTCTCCTTTTGTTTGTCCGTGTGTCTTTTCTGAAGGATGGCAACCTCACAGATGAAGACACCGCTTTCTCTGAGGTCTCATTATCATCATCATCAATATCATCATCATAACCATTATTTTATTTTAGCCATTAGCCAAGAACCCTTTTATCATCATTTCATAATAGCCATCATTTCAAAAGGCTACTAGATAGCATATGAGCACATGTCCAAACAAGAGACCTGATTTCCCTGATAAACTGTCCAGTAGCAATTTTATTTAAAAAAAAATGCTTGTGGAATAATTCTGTCTACCTATAAAGCATAACTTTCATGGTGTACCTATTTCATATTTGCTTACCATGGCACACCACCATCACACGCTTGATTATATGATTGTGAAGGTGCTGCCTGAGTGCTAGTCTGAACCGGCATGGTGTCTTTTTCCCCCTCAGCCTTCTTTATCTTGCTCGTTCGATGGGAGTCTGAAGTCTGAGAACGGCGACAGTGAGCCCAAATGGCCAGAGCTTCCTCCCATCCTAAACCAGAATGAAGACCGGCGGCGAAACAAATACCTGAGGAAGGACTACCTCAAGGTACACATTCACAGACATATACACGAGACCAGAACTGAGACCTAGATTTATATTATGTCCATATATATTGGTTTTTGATTTAAATCAAAAACCAATATAATACTTCCAAAATTATTCTTCCAAATCAGATTTTTCACTAATAGTAATCCAAAAATCTAGTAGTAGATTCTATAAAAACAGCTCCACTGCAGGGACTTAAAACTGAAAAGCAGCTGAAGCCGACCCATCTGTTTAGCTATTTTGATGGAGCTAAACGCTTTTCATTTTCAACATTCATCCATCAGTTGATAAACGATGTTTCCACCTCACTACGGGAAATGCAGTTAATCTCATAGATTCCTTATGACCAATACTGCACTGGCCTAAACACTTTTGAGGAGCGGCTGGTGTCAGCTCCTGCTCTCATTCATTCACTGCCGCTGCTGAAAATCAATAAGATAATATACATAATGCCATTTTGCATTGCCTTTTTAGTATTTTATGTTTAAAAACAACTGTGGACATGCCAAATGTACTGACTGCAGAACTGAGTGCAGACATAGGTGTATTCAAATCAGTTTGATCTCTGATGAAATCTCTATGTTTGGTCTAAACCTTTTAATAGTGTGGTGCTGTCCTTAGTGGAGTAGAAGCTGTCTGCTGTATACATGTTCTCTTTTAAAATCTGTCTCAGTGTTAGAGCCAAGACAGGTTTCACCATCTGAGACTGGGTGGAGAAAAGAGGAGAAAAACAATAAAGAGAAAGGGGGTGGTTCCGAGTGGAAAAATTTGATGCTGTTATAAAGGAAAGGAAAAATATCTGATATCTTTCTCTCCCTCTCTCTTTCTCTCTCTCTCTCACACACACACACACTCTCAGACACACACACACATACATACAAACAGATTTAATTTCCCAGCCACTTCACACATAGTCACACTGCTGACCGAAGTAATGCAGGGCTCAGAACTGTTGGCCAGTTTCCATAACAAGATTGAAGACTTTTTGGCATCCTTTTGTTAAGTGTGTAAGACTTCAGGTGTGTAAACTAGCACAAAAACACACAAAAACACACCTATGCAAATACCACTCAAACAAATCCTTACATTCATAACTTAAAAGTCCAAGGTAGATACCTATCACTCATGTCAATGTATTGAAGCATAAAATGGGAGTTGTCAGTTTTCTGGAGGCTGATTTTGTGCTTCAAGTCTAAGCAGAACACAGCAATGACACTCTCACATTCCAGGATAAAGGCTGTAGAGTGCATCCAAACCTGTGTGTGACTTGTTCAATGAGCCTGATGGAACAATGGGACAATTTGACCTCCCTGCAAAATCATCTGGCCTTAAGCCCACTGATTAAGTGGGAATGCTGTTGCAAATAATCCCACAGTTTTGCTGGGGAAACACCAAATTAAAAACCACATACAAGCTGAATTGAGAGTGGAATTATGAAAATTTGACAGAAAACTAATAGGATAAAACATGGATGGAATCCTTACCTGACAAGATTTGGGTTTTTATCAAGGCAAAGGGAGGCATATCTAAGTAACAGAAAAGAAATGACAAGTATTTTTTGTATGGGGAGCTTAATTAGACATTAAGGAGTCACATCCTCTATGCTAGACCCCATTCAGGACTTAATTTGGACTATGAGTTATACCAAACTGACACTTAATGAACTGGTAACTTGGTGTAGGCCTAACACATTTACAAAGTGCAGAACAGACAAGACTTCCTATTAAGCAACACTGATTAATTGGTCATGTGATGGTGGGAAAACATTATTTTAACTTTTCTCATCATCTGTATGGCACCAGCGTGTGAATTGTATCCAAGTGGCACTATCGACCAGGTGCGCAGAAATGAAAGAAAAAGCAGCTTGAGTGTGAGATTACAGGGCCATGCAGTTACATGTTTTTATCTCTAATACACTGAGATCTCTCATACACTGAACAATTTATTAGCTACACCTATTTTTACATTTTTACATAGACTGTCATATACAGTAGGTGTAGGTTTTAGGCATTTAATTATTGACTATAGCCCATCCTTGTTCATCAAAAGAAAGGGACCACCATAGGTCCAGCACTGACTTGATATTATTTAGGTGAGTAACACTGTAATGGCAGCCTGTTTTTTTTTTCTCCCCCCCCCCCCCCCCCCCCCCATTTTCTCCCATTTTCTCCCATTTTGTCATCTGGCAATTCCTATCCACCAGCCAGCTCTTCCCCATCACACAATACCTAACAACTGTGGAGGGTGCTTTCGCAGAGACATGTGATTCCAGCTACTGCATCTTTTCAAGCGGCTGCTTATACTGCATCACAGGCCAGCACAACACGCTCAGAGGAAAGCGAGCCAAGTATGCCTTCCCTCCCACCCAGAGAGCACAGCCAATTTTGTTCCTGTGGCTTGTGTGACATCAAAGGGTTTCAAATTTGCGATCTCCTGATGATAGTATGAATACTTGTCTGTTCTACCACTAAAGTGGCAGTCTGATAGTTAACCAACTTAGTGACCAAAATTTTTCAATTTGTCAGGAGGTGACAGACAGTAATTTGTTTATTATCACAGAAAAAAAGGCTATGTCCAAATGATTCTTAATCTGTCTTGGCCTAAATTCTATATACATAATTTATTAACTGTCAGCAGGTATGTTGTATGGCCTTGCAAGCTTTGAAATTCCTTTATAAAACATTTTGACTGATGGGATATGCGTTCCTTAAATACATCTCACAGAAGCTGGGCCAAATTCTTTTCCATACTACACCTTGCTTAGTAGTCAGTTAATGTTACTGTTATGTGGTGTTGGTTCCTGGAAACTTGAAAATTTTTATTCTAAAAATAAGCTGACAGGAGCTTTCAAGTTAGCCATCATCTTGACTGTTTTTTTACAAAAGTTAGCTTTCAATATGCTGTGCCAGCGACATGTTTCAAAAATGGTCATATTTCATGCCTGAGGCATATTTTTAATGCATCAAAAGGTAGCTAGACATGCACTCACATAAACAGTCTTTTTATTGAGACTGTTCCAAGCCAAAGGCCTGGTGCAGCACACAGCCAAACACAAGAACAAGTGACGAGAGTTGTAACAACCAATAAATTAAACAGGAATTGCCAGATAGCTACAATATGAGCATGAAGTAGCCTACTGGAGGTTTACTGCAAAAAAAAAAAAAGTAGTTCAGGATTTATACGATTAGTTTTTTTTTCCCCCGTTACTGATTCAATTTTGGAATTGATTCAAACAGGGTCAAGGTGAGAGCAAAGTCAAATACTGAAATAGTTTTTCTTCAATAGTGTCTTCCATGTGTGAAGTATATTTTAAGGGTATTTGGGGCATACAAATTAGTAACAAGAAGGACTAGTTTTATTCCATATCGCATATTGGATTTTCAGATATACTTTGCTGTTAGATTCTGCAGCAGTGGCAACAACTGTAGATGACATGCTGATTTGGAAGTTGGTATTCAGAGCTGGTATCATTATCAATAGCAGACATTGTTACATTCCAACTCTATCTCCACCTATATGTTCTGTTTCATCAAACTCTGGTTTATCCACACCATCTTTTTTCTTCTTCCTATACACTTGAACAAAAATTGCATTTATCAGTAGTCATCCTGGTAGCCTTGTTCCTGGTTCCCTGGTGGGCTAGTGGTTAGTTTGCAGTGCTCTTACTGCTGTGGCCTGGGTTTGAGTCCCGGGCAGGGAACCAACTCTAGCCTCTGGAGGGCTGCATGAGCCAGTGCACTCTCATGGGGAGGGTTGTGTCAGGAAAGGCATCCAGTGTAAAACTTGTGGCAGAATAAATATGTGGCCGGGTGATAAGCTGTGAGGACCCTGAATGGGAGCAGCCAAAAGAGGATTCCTGCTAGTCTTGTTCCTGATGTAGTATTCTGACTGGACCTCCTGGCATAGTCTTAATGTTAGTTTTCATCTAATATTTTTAACCGCAATTTTCCTCAAGTGGGCACTGAGGAATTTAGATTTCTATTATTTTCTTGAACAGTGCTGCTTCCCCAAGTAGTAAATAAGCTACTTTGGTTGTTGTACATGGCACATGGATGATGCATGTGGTATTTTTGATTTGTCCATGTGGAAAGCCATCAAGGCAGAAAGATCAATTCTTAGCCAAAAAATCTATATTATAAGCAACAAGGCTTTTACTGTGAACGTAAACATTTAATAAGACAGA